TGTGGGATACACAGACACGTCAATCGCCTGTCGTACTCTCATTCCTGAGTTAACTGTGCGCACGAGGATTCCTTCAGCCACGCAGCTCTAAATATATTTGCATCTGTTCATGCCAATTTTTACTTTACAAGGCAAATGTAGGTGATGTAATCGAACTGTTGAAGAGGATATGACTAAAGTTCAAAAGAAGCTTTAGACGTGCTGGGAAGTGAAAATCACACGTTTGCACAATGTGCTCTGTATTCTTTCATGTCGTCGGCCAAATTTAGTTTGTACGATAATTTTGTGACTGTTATACGAGAACTCGAAGGTAGAGAAAAGATCAATGTAGTGAAACTTACCAAGCACTTCAATGGATATTATATTGAAAGACTGCTAAGCCTTTGTCGTTTCCCTTTGTAAATAGTCAGCTAATTTGTAGCAGTTAGAGCACACTATTCTCTCTTTATTGAAATGGACAGCTTGGAAGCTGTCCTATACCTTGTATCTTTTCTTTTTTTCTTCGTTATCCTTCTTTACATTTTACTCCCTTTTTTATTGAATATACAAAGATACACTTCTCAGGACGGGGGAAGCGGTCAATCAAAGGGCTGCCATACAACACAGAGAATGAGGAAACTCAGGCGTTACTGGTGGGATTCGAACACACATCCACGAGATAATAATTTGGTGACGTTACCATCGGGCCACCACTACCTACTCCCCACGGGAAACATTTTGCACTCAATTGTTTCTCCTGCTTCATTGTTAAATTTTGAAACAATCGTCACGGACCCCTCTGTACTAGAAATATTTGTGTGTGAAATAAAATATAGAGATGGGTGAAAAATACCATATTGGTGATTGCATAATGTACTAACGTCAATATTTTCGAAGAAAATGTCTTCAGTGCGTGGCAAGACAATAAATTGTCAGTGCAATCAGATACGAGTTTCGTCCTTTTGAAGTTTGTGTATTGTTGAGGATAATCAATATTTTCCTGCATTCACACGACTCTGTATTTTACCTAAGTGAAGTATACTGACATTCTTTTCTCAGCTACTTCACTGTTCTGCTGTTTGGTGGTGGTCCAGTAGTAACGTCACCAAAATCATAATCTCAGAGGACGTGTTCGAATTCAAAAACCACCGCCGCCCGATTTTCACCGTTCTGTTGTATAACAAACCGGTTTCTCCAGCCGAAAATGGTATCTTTATATATTTAGCAAATCGAAGCGAAAATGAAAATAAAAATTAAAA